CTAGTGTGGTCACATTAGCCTTTAGGTTTAGTGTCTAAGAACCCAAATAGGTAAAATTACTTTATGAACGAACTATGAAACTTTTTGTTAACGGAAAATAAAATAAAAAATATTATTGTTTTTTGTGAGTGTGTATTCACCGATGTTTATCACCTTATCAAAAGTTCATATGTCATGAAGTTCATGAACTTTTGAGTAAGATAATAATTTACAATACACAACTTGATTTAGGAGTCAAAGATCCGACACTATATGAACTATTGGAAACCATTATTGTTAAGGAGATAAAAACATACGACTCAAGATGTGTTTAGTCGAAGTAGGAAATGAAATGGATGAACTTGGCATATTATTTAATTAAGATAAAATAAAATGACTTAAACTCTTCGTTGACTCTCAGACCAAGGGACCTACATATTATAACTTATCATCTTATCAAATTATATCATCCATATTTTTTTATTTTTGCAATTGCGTTGATTTTTTATTTGATGCTCATTCATATTACCCAATGTTGATTACATAAATGTTTCATTGTCATATTGACTAGCTTTTGGGAATATAAATTTTGTTCAAAGGGCTACAGTCTTTGTGTTTTCTCCTGTTTGGTTTAAACAGTCCTTGTCCGAATTTGCTAGCTTTATGTCTACGAGATCAATGCTCCAGGGACAAAAAACGTTAAAGGTGGATAGGTGTTAACTCCAACGTACCTATAGTGCAACAAACCATAGACAAATGTACCCTTGCAGTTACATATGAAAGCTATCACATGTTCATTACTAGCTTGGTAGGAATACATCTCATGTAGATGGTGATAACTTCTTGGGAAGAAACAATGCGCTTCATGATACATATTCTATCGTAGAGACCGCGAGAGGTATAGGTAGCGCAGTTAATTAGAACGGTGAGTGTAATCCAGACTTGAACTGCACAGCAACTCAAATGGTGGCGTCGATGCACTCGCTAATGTTGTCACCCTAAAGTTTAGAGAGAGCCCCTAAGATTGCCCCTCATAGATTCTCAAGACTTCCACATAACACTGAAATTGATAAGTTTTCTCTTACTGAGACACTGTCCCCAATAGAATGAAGTTATTTGTCCATTTGGAGACAACTTTCAAAACGGGAATCCCCTAGATCTCAAGTAGTCCCAAAAAAAACTTGGCAACTCAACAACTGATGTTGGAGGTCTGTAATTCTGGTCCGCCACACAAGACACCCGTTAAATCTGGACTGATACGTAGAAGATTAGCATGGGTCTTGCAAGGATGACATGCATCAGGCGAGAAACTATCCAATATAACAAAAAAAAGTATCGGGGAACTATAAATCCTCCTTGGTCATAACCGAGGGGTTGTTAAACTGGTCTGGCCAAAAAATGATTAAGATGGTATACCGGGGGCAGTCAGACTTCGACCGCCACCTGTGGTGATTTTTATAGCATCCTATACAATCTAAAAGGAAAGGGGGGAAAAAAAAAAAATGGGGTGCCACACAAAGTGCTCCACATCTCGATATTTGTTGTTTTATACTTTGGTACATATAAGTTGATAACGATTTTTTTAAAGCAAAAAACTGAAGAAAAGAAGAAAAATAAGGCAAATTACTAAATAGTAAATAATAGATCTATTATTTGGAGAATGCTGAACCTTCAAACGAATGAAAAATGAGAGGGGTGAAGGAATATGTGTGCCACACCCCAATATCTTTTATTTTCTTTTGTGTTTTCTTTTTTTCCCTCTTTTGTAACCAATCAACCAATCAACCAATCAACCTATCATCGAATCAAACAATTAATCAATAAAAAATGAATGAATGGATGAATCAGTCAATCATTGCACACACATACACCAGCAGGATTGCATAGCCCTTACCCAACGGACACACACACACATACACACACACACACACACACACACACACACACATACACACACACACACACACACATATGTACTGACACGTGCACACGAGCGTGCTTGCACACAGACCCCTCCCACACATGCACACATGCACACATGTCTCTTATACACATCTAGATGTGTATAAGAGACAGGTATCACCGCGTTGATGGTGAGCGTTCATGTTGTCCATCTAAATGAGAGTTCACGCCGACTTGTGGTGTGTACCCCGAGCAATCCGCTAGTTGTTNACACACACACACACACACATATGTACTGACACGTGCACACGAGCGTGCTTGCACACAGACCCCTCCCACACATGCACACATGCACACACACACACACACGCACGGACGCACACACGCATGTGCACCCACACACACACACACACACACACACACACACACACACACACACTCACACACACACATGCACACACACACATACACACAAACTCGTGAGCTCAAAGAGGCACATGACTTTTTTTCCCATTCAATATATATTTATTTTTCTATATAATCAGTGAATCAATAGATCAATCAATCAATAATTTAAAGTCAACCAAATCAATCGATCGATAATCGATCAATCAGTCATCAATCAATCCATCAGTTAATCAATCCATCATTACTAAACTGTTTTGTCAATGAATCAATGAATGAATGAATCAATCAATTAATCTTTCAATCAGTAAATCTTTTTCTTTTCAATTGAATTTCCTTCCCCCCCAGGCCCCAGCCCCTCCCCTCAGCCAAAAAGAAAACGTTTTTCATTTTGTGTCCCATAGGGTCGGGACGGGTTTCCGCAGCGTGAATCCCCGAGCTTGATCCCCGGGAGCCCGCCCACGAGCTACCATGTGGTCGCTTTTGGTCGTGACGGCCCCGATCATGACTGGAGGTCGCAGTTATGACCGTCCCAGTCGCCCGTCACGGGGAGCGAAGCGGTTAACGGAGCCCCAAGTTCTCAGGGTTTGTTCAGGGTCATTATAACAAACATCCCACTGCTTTCAAGCCAGACTTGTCACCAGTCCATAGAGTGGACACCAAATAAACCGACAGGAAAAACGAAAAAGAGAGAACTACGGCAATGTCAAGGATCGAGTTTGAAAATGCACTTGAGGCAAAAGGACCGGTAATGGTGAATGTATATAAGCTAGGTTTTGGGACAGGTGGGGTCACGTGGGGTGTGTTGTGTTCACCGGATTGCCTGAAGTGCATTTTCAAACTATTTTCGTTACTGCGCAGAAGTTACCCCAAAACAAAAAGAGGTAAAAAATGGATCAAAGGGGCCTTAAACCCCAAGGCAAAAGTGTGCTTTCATGCAAAATTGGCTCTTTACAATCGTCAGGATTTTCAAGATTTCCAGGGCTGGCCAAAACAGTCATCTCCAAGACCCCAACAAACACCGAACTTGGTACACGCAGACCTTGACTGAAATTCAAACTGGGCCAAAAAAAAAAGAAAATGCTTAAAAAATTTATGTATTTCTCACCCTGGCCACCACAGTGAGGCAGTGAGATGTTCAGATGGGATGGCAGGGATGGCACTTGAAACTAAGACTACTAGACTAGGCCCCAGGGATACTAAGAGTTAGCCCCCACGGTTTACAGGGACCCCCACTTTTCAGCCCCAAGATTTGGGGCCAAATGAAATCAGATGGACAGTTCAGTGAAAGTATCCCAAGGCCATCACCCTTTTTGCAGGATGACGTCCAAAAAAAACAAAAGAAAGAAGGATGACTGCATGCATTCATGGGTCCAAATAAAATAGGCTAATGTTCTGTTTGGCGGAAGACTGCATGCATTGGTGCCCAGATGGAATGCTAGCACTTTTTTGGGTGCAACCCCGGCTGCAGAATACAGATGACCATTCAAACATTGCAGAAGGTAGAAATGAAAGACTACAAGACTTCAACTAATACACTGACCATGCAGAATAAAAAAGAGAGACCAACACAGATTGATACAGAAAGCAACAGGCCATATAGTATACACAATCGTGCCGGCCTACACAGATGAATACGTAAGCATGCAGAACACAAATGTGTTAGGTATGGAAAGGTGGTTAAAGTAGGGCGCTCATAGGTTACACATCGGCCAGACCCTCATCAGACACTGTCTGGGGTATCCGAGTCTAGAAGCAGGGAACTGAGGGCACAGACCCATGTTTTGAGATGTGCACTCTAGGGTCTCCTCACGAGGCATGTAGTAATAGATTCGCAGCTACCATCTTCACCTGAATATAACACCTGATCCTTATAGCTGCATTTGGGCCATTTTTTAGTCCAGATGCGGCGAAGATGATCAGGCGTTCTATTTGGGTGAAGACGGTAGCTCCCTCCCGAGGTAGCCGTGCCACATGCAGGCGTTCCTATTCAGCACTGGCGCCCATGAACCCTGCCGGGAATATCCGTCGTGACGGATATTGGCCAACGAGTGGGAAAAGAAAAAGGAAAAAGGAAAAGGCCAGAATAGACCCGCGTTCTAATCGGTCATGACTCGCTTTTCCTGTTTTTCCAGATGGAGATGATCATGCCAGCCGGCATTGCGCACCTTCTATTTTCTTCCCCCCCTTCCCCCCCTTCCCCTTACAAGGCTACATCAATACTTTCATGTCATGGAGCTCGCTCCGGACTCTTCCAATTGCACTTGATCTAGAAAGGCGTCCGAATGCATGTAGATGCAGAGTTCTGAGCAGTGGATCGACACCCTCTATTCACAAACTCGTCTAGGACGCGGGCATACTGGTTTACAGCTAACGAAGCGAATCTTAATCTTATATAAAGGCCTTCCCGGCAGATCGATGCAGCATGTCTTTACGTGGGAGATTTGCATGAGGCGAAACACTAGAGTAACTTCTAGTTGAACGAGTGAGAGACGACCAAGTTTGATTGGAGGAAGAGGCGAAGAGGGGGCTTGCGGAGAGAACATTAAGCACGAGACGGAGAGGGGGTCCGAGGTACTAATCACGGAGAGGGAGATTAAGCAAGAGGCGGAGAGGGGGCTTGCAGAGAAGGAGATTAACCATTGAGGGTGGGGTGAGGTTGGTGTTTACACGGCGAGTGGATCGGAGAAGTATCCGTGAGAGCATCGCAGCGTGGGTTGCTGACGGGCCAGCAAGAGTCTAGACTCTAGGCAGGGGGGAAGAAGGACGAAGACCACGACGAGTAATTAGGTGATTCTGTTGGCGATAGAGAGATCATGGCTTTCGCTGCTGTCTTCTTCTTCGCGATGTTCCTAGCCGCATCCTGGCTGGTGGCGCAGCCGGTTATGGCGCAACAGGGTCAGCAGTCTATTCCTGATTTGATCGAGGGATCCACGGCACGTACGGATTTGGGTGTTTTCGCTGAGAGTTTGCGATCCGTCCCGGATGCTCTTCAAGCGATGGAGAGTCAGCGTCAAAAGCCTGAAGGGGTGACCATCTTCGCACCCACCGACGACTCTCTGGTTGCTGCGCCGGAGTCTGTCACCCAATGTCTGCGGCAATCACCTCGAGCCAATGAGATTGCGACGGCTTTTCTGCTATCTCACGCGATTCCCGGGAGTCTGCCGATGGACGCGTTGACGACGAAGGTCAGCCAGTTGCCGAATGGCAAGTTCATGCAGCCCACGTTGGCGGGAGGGGACTCCAGCCTTGTCGTTATCCGCCAAGCGGCATCAAGGTACCCTGGCGCAAATACAGGCATCTTCGTGGATGATGCGCAGATCTTACCGGATGGGTCCAACGTCGTGACTGCTTCGGGTCTCGTCGTGCACGCCATCGATGGGCCGATTCTTACTCCGCATGTCGTGCAGATGGTCAGCGAAGCCTGTCCGGGGGCGGTGCCCTCCGCCCCACCTCCGCCCTACTCCGGTTGAGGGCAGTAGGAGCGACCGGACATGACGAGGAGGTGTCCCAACCTCGCTACAATACACCGATGAAGCCGACTACTAGTAGGCGTGAGGAGGGGGGAGCCAACGCACCGTCGCGCCCAGCCGCAGAGAGGTGATCGATGTCGATCATTGTATATTAGCAGGCAGTTAATATGGCGGTGACAGTCGCCTCGTAAATGATCCTTCGAGTTCTACCGTCCAAGGCGGCACTCTTGTCCAACAGCAAACAACAAAGTCGTCGGAGCTTGTGAACGCGCCACTACGAATCCCTCTCCCATGTGCATCGACTTGATTCACTTGACCTCCTGAAATTTCATCGAGCTGTTCTGTTCTGCTCGCGCGCGGGCAAGCGTGCATCATGCTCCCACGTGCATGGATCTTGACCTCCTGCACTTTCATCCCGCTGTTCTGTTCTCTCTCTCTCTCTCTCTCTCTCTCTCTCTCTCTCTC